AACAACTTTCGGACATAAATTTTGAAGTGAGTTCGACGAAATGGGCTGAATGTAGCCACCGGTTCGGCCCCGTTCCTCCAAAGTCTAACAAGGAGTGGTTTTTGAGTGTCATTGGCAAATCCCTTAGCGACCTAGTTCATTCGATCGAGAATTTAATTCTGAACAACCTTCCGGTGTTCATTTTTGCAAAACGGCTCTACCTGATTTTATAAAATTAAAAAACGAAAAATTGAATTTTCCGTACCCCGTCTGGCGTGGCCAGCCTATTGGAACCCCCCTAGGACAAGAGCTCTCTCCGCCTCCCCCTCTCACCATGGGACGTGGCCTAGTGGTTAAGGCTTCCGTCTTCAGAAATTTTTTGCATCTTTGTGGAAAGTTCGGTTTTTTGCTAGAAAATTTGTTTTGCTTTTTGTTAATGAAAGCGTTTGCCGAATCGATTTAAAATAAAACTTATTACAACGTTGGCTGCTCTGCGCGCTTTCGGGAAGATTTACAACAAAAAACAAATATTATGATCCAGGTTAGTGTGAGTCCTCTAAATTGGAGGTGTAACCTGTTTAAAAATACTGGGGCCACTTATAATACAAAAAGCAAAACAAATTACATCTACAAGAACCGAACTTGCAAAAGATGCCAAAAAAATTTGGAATACAGTCGCGTTAGCCACTGCGCCACGGCTGATGCTGAGGGGGGCCGCGATGAAGGCCTCTTCTCCCGGCATGATCTTGATGCGGCGAACCGACGGTTGGCCAAAATTCCATTTAAAGTTTTTAAATTTTATAAAATCAGGGAAAGGCGTTTTGCAAAAATGAACACCGAGAGGTTGTTCAGAATTCAATTCTCTATCGAATGAACTAGGTCGCTAAGGGATTTGCCAATGACACTCAAAAACCACTCCTTGTAAGGCTCACGGGAAAATCACTGAGTCTTAAATGAGCGTCATAATCCGCTGCACCGTAATCCCCCGCAGCGACCCTCAAAAAAACTCCACATTTCCGGTGTTCAGGGGGGGGGGGCGTGTTTTCGGGTTTTCCGATCGAAAAGGGCTGAAAAAGAGGGCAAAATTGGAGAGGAAGGTGTTTGGTGCGGGCATTCACAACAGCATAGCCCGGTGAATAATCCTCCTTTTTAAGGGGGTTCTCCATTTTCCTGGTTGCGCCATAGAGAGAGAGAGAGAGAGAGAGAGAGAGAGAGAGAGAAAGGGAGAGAGCGAGAGAGAAAGGGAGAGAGCAGGCAAAAGGAGAAAACGAAATGCAGGCAACATGTCATTTCCACCGCCAAGGATTTATGCATGTACCGCCCGGTCAAAAAGGGTTGTTATGCACGATGAGCCCGAATATAGAATCTACCTCTAACCCGGAAATAAGGCGAAAAAGTTAATTTGGACGTTCGACGTTTCCTTAAGGGTGTCCCAATAAAAAACACCCCCCAACCCGGCGCAGAAATCTCGGATCGTGATGTTAGTTATACCATTCAAAAGTCCTTGAAAAGGCTAGTAGGCAACAAACTTCATAACCATGTTTTTATTTATACCCCATTTTACAAGCCATTTTGTAGAATTTGCGGTTTTTCGAGGTTGCATACGAGCTAATTTCCTCAATTTCTGCAAGCAAAATCAGCGGAATCAGACGTTAATTAGATGCAGGGGCATTTCCTTAAGGTTTTTAAATGAAATCAATAAAAGATCAAATTTCCAACCCGGACGACACTAAACTCAGCGTGCGGAAGCCCTAGAAACCATTATTCACAAGATTTTTGAACATTTCCCGCCACCCAAAAAAGGCAAAAAATCTTCCGGGAAAGGTTTCGGGGAAAAGTTTGATCAGCCGGCCCGACCCGAGAGCGAATTTGCATGATTCGAGTTGGGAGGGGCAGAATCGAATCATCGGGGTGGGGGTGCCCTTCATTTTCCTGGCTTTTCCCTTCTAAAATCTCTCCTTCCACCCGCCTAAGGCCACTCGAAAAACGGGGAGAAGGGCCCAAAACCTGATTTTGCGACACTTCACCCCCGGCGGCACCCCAAACGAATCACCCCCGCCTCTTCGCTTGTTAGCTGGCTAAAAACGGCTTGGAATTCGCAAACTTTGCCGCGGCACCCCAGAGCGTCGCTGGCTCATGGGAAAAAGTTGAGGGCAAATTTATGCCAGTCTGCGGATTGAATTTAAATTTTCGCGTGCTGTTTTGTCGGGTTGGAGTCGTGGGCTACCCAGTTAGTTCCGGGGAGATTTCTGAAAGCGGCTGTCAAAGTGCTTCCGAAAACGTCGAAGGACAGAAATTTCTTAGGATAAATTTCCGTAACTGGTTCCGAAGGCGAAGGTAAAGAGCTTGAAGGATTTTAGAAGATAGGCGATTGACCCCGCAGAGATCAGCAGCAACATTTTGTAGGGCAGCAGGGAAGTGTGAAATGGCTTCGGTGATTCGGGTCTCGTCGGAAAACAGTTTACTTTTAGCAATACAGAGAGAAACAGGAGCGAAACCAGAGTTTTTGGTGCGTCTGCCCCATCAGATTTCCGGTGTTATTCATCGAGAACGGAAAGAGCATTTTTTGGCCCGGGTTAAGATGTTTGATCCAGAAATGATGTTTGTGAATATCAGCTTTTTAAGATCAACCGCCGCAGCGGAGAGTTTAAAGAGACTATATTTTAGAACTGCCCACCACCATTGTGTGAAGAAGATCGGTATGGTGCGCCTTACGATAAATGCCACACGGCTAGCGAATAATAAATTTTTGCCTGCGGATAGATACTGCTTTATTTTTTTCGGGAGGCTGGGGTGAAGGACGAAAAAATGATGGGCGGGGGAGGAGCGATGAAAGGGGCCTGCCATTTCACTAGATGGTGTCCAGGGCAACATTCACCTCGTGTCCCGCCATAAATCATCAGATGTGGAGCGGGGGCACGGATTCGAGGAGACGTCTTCTCGAATTGACACTGTCGTCAGCGTCGCCACCGGAATTTTTGAGGATTTGCGCATAAGAAATGCGAAAATGGGCCCCAGCTTTCCGCGCATCCTGCTGGGAAAGTGCGTATTTTGGGAAATTATTGGAAGTCTGATCGGGGTTGGAAAACACATTTCTTGGGGAAATTCATCATAGAAACATAAAAAAACTAATTAGAATTCGTCCAAAACCCTAATAGAACGTAATGCAATCTAGTATTTTTTTACCAATCCTGGATAGTCGATCAAAAATGACGCCTGGCAACCTTTAGCCGGCTTTAGTCTAAATCATGGGCTTGAAGACAAGGGCTAGATTGCGATATGGGAGTGCCCCTAGTATTATAGTTGTTATTTAGCGACGAGCGAGACACGGCAAAATGCCCCTGATACATGCCAATTACGAGAGATTTCATCATTTCTCGGCAAACTACACGCTACCGAAAACGGCAGTATTTTGCTGCGGGCAGCAGGACAGGCATCAATATTCGTAATAATATACGCAGAGATGGCGAATGTGGATGGGGGCGGGCTTTTAAAGGGGCAGAAGAGGAAAGGTAATTAATAGGGATGGTCATTCATACGCGTCTTCAGCCAATGTCAAAAATACGGGGGGAGGTAGTAGTAGGCTATCTTCGTTTTGTCGAAATAGGATTTTGTCGAATTCAATTTGTCGAAATATCATTGCCTAAGTATCACGTTGCCGAAATTTCAATGCATTGTTCACCTCAATTATCCATTTCAAACCTTTAGCAAATTGAAATTTCGCTAAAAAAGTAATTTGTGCAAGGTGACATGTCGGCAAAATTAAATTCTGACAAAATGATGCTACGACGGAATAGATTTTGACCTACTGATATAAAAACGGGTTGGAATGATATAAAGGTCTTGCAGAAAGAAGTTTTATGAAGTGATAAACTTGTAAGTGGAAGTGTACCATAAATAAATACACAATAAGTCAGCTTCGAGAAAATGCGTATTCGCTGGACCCCTGATTTCTACCTCATTTAGGGGGGAAAATGTGACTTCCGGCTCCAAAAGGCCAGTTAAAAACAATGCGCCACCCTGCACGATTTCACGCAAGTTTCGATGCGGAGAGCCAGTGGATGAAGGCCCCACGCAAATATGAGGCGAAAATGAGCGCGGCCAGTGCGAGGGGGAAGCTAGGCAAAAGAAGATGTAAAAAGAGCAGAAGAGGGCACTTCTGAAGCGCACCCGGATCTCGCTGCAAAACGAGCCCACCACCCGAATTAGCGGCTTCCGGGAATCGCGGATGCCAAATTGGCCGGAAGTCCCGTTCGGAGGTCCCTGAAATTCCGGAAAGGATCGGTTATTCACCTGCGTTTTTGGAATTAGAATGGGGGTTTTGAGGGATGAATGAGTGTCCTATATTCGTTTTTATATTCATAAAACAAGTATTCAAGATTGCATTTTGTAGAAATGACGTTTTGCCGAGACTTGATGTTGTGGAAACATCATTTTGTCGAAATTGGTGCCTTTTTCGTCTCTTTCAAACAACGCGCAAATTAAAATTTCACAAGGCTATGTCAACAGAATGAAACTTCGACAAGACGATATTTCGAAAAAAATGAAATTTCGACTAAAAGAAATTTCGACAAAGATTTTTGCCAAACTGATAGCAGATCATGCCCGCGGTCTACACTATGATTTGTTGACTGACCTTGAAAGCAACAATTACATAATTTACTTCTTTAAAAGTGCGCTCTACTCACCTAATAAACGACTCTCCATAAAAAGTGACCTTGACCATTGTTTTCGCTTCTTTTCCCCGTGGACAGTACAACCTTTCCCTTTTGCACAGCGCAGCAATTGTGAGATCAAGCGAAAAGAGTCGAAATCGACAGTGACTGAGAGAGAAAGGGCGAGAGAGAGAGAGAGAGAGAGAGAGAAAGAGAGAGAGACAGAATCATGCCAAATGATACAGGGATAGAGGATCTGCTGTGATTACACTGTGGGCCGTCGTGCCAACGCCTCGCCAAAATATCCGAGATAAATATGGCGCGCCAACCATTTCTCGGATTTCGCCCACTTTTCACCGTCTCGCCATGTTGATATCGTCAATTTTATTTCTTTATGGGGTGCCGGCGATTAAATTTGAAGCCATGGTAAGGCGATAGGAGCGCACGCACTATGTATATCGATAACAGCGTGAAATTTGCATTAAATTGGTTTTTTGGTTTGCAAAAGTTTGTAATGTTTTTTTCAGCTAATTATTATCGGCTTTATACTTAGGGAAGGCCTATGTGCTGTTCTTAGATTGAAATTGCTAATTTTTAGGTTTCAAACTCGGCGTTAACCGTCCTACACGATTCTCGGCAGTCGACAGTCAATATTCGGCAATGCACGTGTAAGGTTGGTTTTCCAGATCAAGCCTTCTATCCCTTGTCTCTCGCCTTTGATTATTTAAAGGGGCTATGAAGTGAAAACTCGTGCATGCGGGGATCGAACCTACTGGTCAAAAACAAAAGGATTGCCGCCGAAAAGTGCTCGCAAATTGATTTCGTTGCGAAAAACGCAAAGTTTTAGAGAAAAACCGAAAGGTTTTCACCATGAAAACAACTTTTTGATTGCGTGGGATTACATGTCGTAATGCGTTGTAAGGGACCCAATCTCTCGATCTCGGTGATTCTCTGATCAATTTTCATAATTAAAAAGTCTAGAATCAAAATTCGATGGGAATTCCAGAAGTAGCTTCAAACGTTTGAGATTCAATCGTTTTCACGTCCAAACAGGGGCAAAAGATCCTGCGGCGCGGTCGCGCTGCGGGCGAATCTGGCTATTTGCCAGGAATCAACGCAGGGGGCCGTGGACCAGATTTCGGAGCCCCTTTAAAGGGATAGCGGCGGCATAAGTCAAGCGATTACACGCGGGAAAGAAAATATCTCTGCGCCTCACCCCTGGGCGCTCTCTTTCGCAGCAACATCTCTTTAAGCTGTAAAACGATGATTCGTTTAGGAGATGAACGATGGCTTCGAGGAAGCCAAAGAACAAGCTTTTGAATGTCTAATGGATCCATGTTTTGAGGAAGTGAAAAAGGTAACCTCAAAGATTTTATGGATTCCCGTTGCATTGCAGATGGGACTTGTGCAAAATACGGACGTGATCCGGGAATGCTTCCGTCAGAAGAAGGAATTCATGAACAACCTGCTGCTCTGCTTCCAGAACAACATCAAAGCGTTCGGCGGATTTTGGTAGCCTTTCGTAGAGATTTATTTAGTTGTACTCCGCCCGGAAAACAGGAAAAACAAGTGCCATCGGCGGATCTGAATCTGCTGATTGATCGGTAGGCGATAGCGCTTCATGAAATGTAGAGGTTGTTTTTAGGGCCGAAGAGGTGATTACTCAACAGCTCGCCGTTTTCCTGAAAACGATCAATGCCTCGGATATTCAGGTATTTTACATTGCCATTTTCTTTTGGGGGAACTTTGGGTTCAGCTACACTTTGCTTTACCCCCGCCCCAGCCGAAATTTTTTGGCTATAACTTTTTTATTTTACATTATTTTAGGGTTAAATTAAAACTCTTAGTATATTTTTCGACTCTCTATCGAATGGCGTTGCAAAAATCCCGAAAAAATTACGGAAATACCGAAAACTTTGAGACCCTTCGGCTGTGGGGGGGGGGGGGGTAAAGTAAAGTCTTACCTTGGGTTCCAAAGCGAACCACCCTTAAAAGCGGTTTCAGAAAGTGGGTGATGCGGCCAAGGCCGTCGGTCGCTGCGTGAAGTTGTGTTTTGTGAACGACAAGAACAAGAATGGGTTCAGATTTGATCGTATCGGGTATGTCTTTGGCACTTACATGCAAAGCTCAATAACATCGATTACAAAAATTGTGCTTCAACAAATTTTTGAACATTTCCCAGTAGTTCGGATTGATAATATAGCTTTCAAATTATAATTGCTATAATTAAAATTATTTATCATAAAAAATAACGATAATTGATAAGCGCGCCGCTCCGCTGATATAGCAAATTTTGACGTTTTTAGGTGCATGCCGTACATTACGGATCGGAACGCCAGACGATCAGTACGGCAATGCTCACGGGCAATCAACTGGAAGAAGGAGATCTCCGAGATGTGCACATGTTCTGCCCATGCGGGGATCGGGTACGGGCTTTAAAGGGATGCCCAACCTTTTCGGGGCTCAAAAAGCAAAAACCATGCCGCGGGCGGGGGTCGAACCCGAGTCCCCCGTTTTGTAGCCCTGGATGCTATCCATTAGGCCATAGTGGCAAGCCATTGAGGGGGAGGGCGCCCATTGGCGCACAAAATTCGCGCGTCATTTGTACTTGCCGGAATACATAACTATACCTTTGCCTCCAAAACCTTGGGTGTCCCTTTAAGGAGAAGATCATAGAATCGATTTGGGGAAATTGAAATAAACCTTTATTTCCAGAACGCTGGCCAACTACTGCGGCATCTTCACGCTGATGGGTCGATGAGAATTGGCGGAGAAATAAATCAATAGATACAGTACCCGCGGCAAAGCAATTATATCCACTGCTATCAGTCCTCCATTGAACCGCCAAACGACAAAAATCAATTGTTCGTGGCGGTGATTCCAATTTAGATTAAGAAAAAATTTAGGAAAAGTCGAAAAATTAATGGGAGAGTTATTGGCTATTCTTTTTCGCATGATTTGCCACCGTAATGTCAAAATTTCAAAATGTCGAAATTTTTTGCATAAAATTTGACGAGTTTTTCGGGAATTTCGACATTTCAACGCCCTTTTCGCATACTCCCAAAACGTTTCCGGTGTAGCGCCGCGATACTGGCGCAGTTCACGCAAAGCTTTAGGCTGGCTGAAGCGCTCGTTGCCTGTCTACCCTAAGCACCTATCTCCCTCTCCTGCTCGGATGTCAGTTGGTCCTGTGCGCAATTTCTCTCCATCCCTCTCCCACTCTTCCCCACCAATTGTCCGGTGGTACCCGCTACCGTAACCTTGTCCCCTGGTGACAATGGCCACCCTTTAGTCATCGATCGGCCAGGTGGCGACGTGTGTGGCCGGACGCCATGTGTTCTCTGCGTCTCCGACTCTCTACGAGGCTTTGTTTCTCGGCACTCTCCGCTCCCTACTTCCTCTAATGCCCCCCCCGCAAGCCACACCCTGACCCCGAGACCCTCACAAGCGGAGGTTATATGTTAAATCAAAGGGGCTTGGAAGTCAAAATTTTCTGGCAGACATTGGGTATTGGTGTGTTACAAAATGAAATACTAAAGGGCTAGTGGTTACAAAGACGTGAAAATTTATTTCCTTGCTAAAAGCCGCTGACTATTTGCAAAACGAAATCTTTTTGGGGAAAGATAATTTTTCTGCTCGCGGGAGTGGCATAACGATCTTTCGCCAACCATTCGCGATGGTTTTGGTTGCCGATTTTGATAATTAAAATCATTTTATTATCTTGCTGTTTACAGAAACTGCGGCGGAATGTACGAATTGACGGATTTTCCGGCCCAAACAGGCCCTAAAAAATCCTGGGCGAGCGCTTTGCGTCTTATGTCCCATGAACAAACATTTTAGGAGTTGGGCCAGTCTTCCTAACCACTTTAAAAGCCGCTTAGCGCTTCGCCTTCGCATAAACGTCGATTATGGTATGACACCTGGATCAACATCGGCCGCATATATCGTAAATTTATTGCTCAAAAGCACAAGCTAATAAAGGCCTCTCACAAATATTTATATCAATGGATCGTGGATGCAAAAGGGGGGAATGTGAACCTGTGTGGAGCTACAACGTGTATCAAAAAGAATTTTGTATTGGCGGGAGTTGGCGGGCACTGGAAGCAGGTTGCAAGTGAATGTTTGATTAGAGGGATTGGGACTGTTTGAAATACATACAAATGGAGGTTTTTGAGGTCGCAGGGATTTCACGCCGGCAATAGTCTAGGTTGTGTAGAATTTTGCACTGATGACGACTATAGTTACCAAATTTTCAAAATTACTATTTTCCGAAAGTTATGAACGATTTAAGTTGGGGAAACCGCAGAGCGCGGTTCATTTTAGGCGTTTCCGGGTTTTAGGCCTGCATAACTTTCGGGATATGGTGGTTGCACAGCGTGAAATCTGCCCAAGTTAGACCTGATCCCAACTTAAGACCCCGGCTAAACTAAAAACCGTCTTTTTGTTAGGACAAACCTAATTTCGCACGCGTAGCATTACGTTGCTTTCCCTTCCCCTATAGTTTCTCTATAAGCGGAAAAAAAACGAAAAATCTAAGGCTAATTGTTGGCGGCGGTAATGTTTGACAATGGTTACAAAGGTGATCTCAGAAGATGTACGCGATGCTACTATAGACCCGAAGCGTATTGAAGGGAATGGAGAAAACAGTAGACGAAAACGGTATAAACGTGGGGGGGGGGGCTGACCGAGAAGTGGATGACAAGATAGGCAGGCACATTTAAGACAAATGAAAGTATTGACACCGGGTGATCACTGTAAAAGCTGCAGTTGGCCTTGGAAATTGGAATCGAGATTTGGGAAATTGTTAGAAAACTAGTCGAATCACTCGAACTCCGTGTAATCAACTGCCAACACGTTTGGACGCGATTTCCGCGGCTGCTTCGCGTGTCCGTTCGACCCTGCGGGGGATGCGGGCCTTTTTCCGCCCGAAAGTCGAGATCCCGTTTCAAATATTCCGGAATCTGGAGATGTCGACAGTGATCGTGGCACCTTACGGTTCAGTTGGACATGACCCGATTCTTTTAGCGGTTGACCGATCTGAAAATGGCACGTAAATAGAGTAAACCAATTTTTTCGGCTCAAGCCTAAGTTTTTTCTATAAATAGCGGATGCGTTCCTAAATTATTTTTAACTATTTCTAAGCATAAAAACTACTAAATTTTAGGTCGCAAAATCCTATGGAACCTTTAGGATTCGCGGTGGTGGGGGGAAGGACCCAAAATGACCAAATTTTCGACGTTGTCAAACATTTTTCTAACTTTAGAAAATTTTTCGCCTTTAAATGTAGTTGAAACTTACTGAAAACAATGTGAAAACACTTTATATTTAATTACTAGGTCAACCGGGACCGCCAGGAAAAAAATTGGCTCCCCCCCTGCGAAGCCTAAAGAACCAATTCCTACCGTCTCGAGCCCATATTTCGCCTTATATTTGTGGTAGAATTGCTCGACTTCTTGCGGTTCCTTGCCGACCTTGCACGCCACCGTACCCCACTTTTGGCCGTATTCTCGAATTGCTGAAAGAGTTGCGTTGTTCGCCAACCGAAAAACAACCGACCTTTGACAATTTGCAGATTCTCTTGTGGGGTGAACTCGACCAGAATCGCGTTTTTAATCTTTTGCATTTGAGGGCAGAGCAGAGGACAGCTGGAAAGGTTCAGTTGGAACGTGAAGCCGTAGACTAGACTTACGTGTCGTTGAGCGTGACAGTCTTCGTTTTTGATTGCTTGGCAATATCGTCAAGTTTCATTTTTTGCTTTTTCTGTGCTGAGGGTACTTTGCCAAGGATCTAGAACATAAAGAATTTAGTAAATCAAGAAATTCGTAGCCAAAAACAATCTGTTTTTAGTAAATTAGGAGAAAAATGGCCCACATCTTCATTATCATCCCATCGAAGCCGCACATCTCGCTGTCTCTCTTCTTCCACCTCTTTTCTCACCTGTAAAAGAGGTTGTTTATTTTGTTATAGCTAACTTTGCCATACGCTAAGCAAAAAAAACTAACCGCATTCATCGAAATCTCATGACCAGCCGCTCTTTGCAGGTCGCGCCATTTCAAGACGAATTCCTTCTCGGCGGTGGTCAACGGAGTGACAATTCTTCGATCCAATCCGGTTCGCCTAAAGTATTTTTTGAGGAAATAGTTGCCCGAACTACTCACTACAGGGTGTCCCAAACCCCCCCCCCTACCCTAGCGGTCCGCAGTCGTGTCCGATTTTTACGATTTAGGTATCTATCGAAAGCTCTCGAAAAGGCGAGAAACAAGGAGGGTTCATTTTCTTTATTATGCATTATTATTCGCTAATTTGCGTCGAAAACCCATGAAAGCTGCTGATTTATGCAAGATCTGCATACTAATTGCGAAATTCCTGTTGAAAAATACCGGTTTTTATAGAAAAACCATAAATATCGATGGAAATCTTAGAAAATGAAACCCGCTTGTTGTTTCGCCTTTTCGCGAGCTTTCGATAAGTAGCTAAAATAGGACTTGACTGCGGGCCGCTAGGTATGGGTCTTTTTTTGGGACACCCTGTATTCCTTTCAATAAAGTATTGTCTTAAAAGCTGACCTTGTGTACAGGTCACAGACGGGACAGAGCCGTACTTTTGCTGACCGATCCTTCCAAATCAATCTTGTGCAATTCGTGCACTCGACTCGCGAAATCACCGGCTTTTCCTTCGAATCACTGCTGCAAGCGGGTGTTGTTGCAATATTGCCCATTGAGCTCACCTCCGACAAGTGCATAAGTTGTATTCTTCTGTCGGACATCCGCGATGCTTCGTATTATAGTAGTAGGCAACAATTTCACCCAACCAGTGGCTTTTGAGCTAAAAAAGTTTCAATGTTAACGCGTAGTTAATGATCAGGAAAAGTCGATAACGATAAATCTCAGATTTTAATAACGCAGTTCTCAAGACCCACGAAACGGTCCTGCATCAATCGGAACTTCTTGCAAGCAGCGGATCCCTTCTTCTTCAAATACTTTTCGAACTCGTCGCGCTGCCCCTCGGAAAGTGGCTCCATTTCGGGCGTGTTCTGAAAAGTGTGAAGTTTGTGGTTATTTTACAAAAATTAAAAAGGTTAGCAAAGCATTTGATAAAGTCTAAATTTTGATCATTTTGGGTCAAAAAAAACCATTATTTTATTCCCCCTCCCCCTGCAAATAACCAAGAACCCCCAAAAATCTAACCTCATACAATTCCTTCTCCACATATAGCAACATCTCATTGATATCGTAGTGGCATACCATCAACCGGTGGAGCATCTGAAGAAAGCGATTACTTCCTGATTCACCCGAAAAACGTACCGCATCAAGACCAATCTGTCCACCGCAATGCCGGCGTACTGCATGCCAGGCATCGTCGAGTTCAGCGGATGAGAGCTGCAATTTACAGATAAAATCCGATAAACATGGTTTTAATGCAATTTCAAACCCAGCGGCTATTTTTTTGGTAAGACTTTACTCTCCCCTCCCCCACAGCCGAAGGGTCTCAAAGTTTTCGGTATTTTCGCTTATTTTGTCGGGATTTTTGCAACTCCATTCGATAGAGTGTCGAAAAATATACATAGCGTTTTAATTTGAGCCTACCATACTGTAAAATAAAAAAGTCATAGCCAAAACATTCCGACTGGGGGGGGGGGGGTTATGTAAAGGGCAGCCATTTTTTTTTTACCTTATTCTTGTCTGACCGCCACATGACCTGATCGCGATCGGGCTCCTTGTCAAGGCGTTCACGGCTCGGCTGCTGCCAGCTCGTTTC